TCATGGGCTAGTTGGTTGGTGGTTAGTTTGATGTGGTTAGTTTGGTTGTGATTAGTTGATTGTGGGTTAGTTTGGTTGGTGGATTAGTTTGGTTGGTGGGTTAGTTTGGTCGTGGGTTAGTTTGGTTGGTGGGTTAGTTTGGTCGTGGGTTAGTTTGGTTGGTGGGTTAGTTTGGTTGGTGGGTTAGTTTGGTCAGGCAGCAGGAACTGGGGGAAAACCACACAGAGAACCACCTGAATGGTGTTATTTGTGGAGGTTGAGGTAGGACGAGAAATCAGTAAGTGCACTCTTACTGGTCATTTAGTCACTTTTATGACTAATCTGTGAAATATCTTTATTGAATTTGAATATTATAATTATGAGGGTATATGGTGGTGGAGGTGTCAATATTTGGTAATTATCATTTATCTCTGTCTATCATCTATCATCAACACAAGTTGTGTGAATGTGAATGTTGGTGTGTGTTACAATTATAAATCTGGGTAGAAAGAGTTAAAGCAAATGATGGAAATGAATATATCTGAGATAAACAAAAATTTAATTTATTTTTTTAGGTAAGCAGATTTATTTTATTTTAGATAAGCAAATTTTTAAAAATTCATTTCCCTTGGGTGACAGTGAGACAGCTGTGTTCCCTGAGTGCCACTTTTGCTGTTTGACCACCGAGGATGGTTTACTCAGTTCAACACATACCTCAGCTTATATGTTCATGACAGTGACCTCACTATGCTTACAAAGAGACTCAAGCTCAGAGGGTTGGGCAGATGTGGGTGATGGTAAAAGGAAACTGGACATGCATGTGCAGGTGGGTAGCATGGTGGGGGAAGACCAGTAGTATTGGGGTTCTATGGAAAGAAATAAATTAATGGGTAAGGAGACAGGTCCCCAGTTTGACTTTGGTGGGACTCCATCAGCTATTTGGGGGCTCACACAAAAGAGATGATAATAGAAACTGAATTTTGGTTGATTGAAGGAATTAAATATATTGAGACATTTGCCCAGTAGTGATCAAGTGTAGGTAGAAAAATTCCAACAAAAACTTAAGAAGACATTATATTAGATATGTTAAAAACCAAGGAGAGTGGAGAAATGTTTAACCTCACACACATTATAAAAAGCATAAACTAAGCAAAGGAATATTCAAGTTGGATGCAGAGAAAGAGGAAAGAGAAAAATGTTCAGTTAGAGCGCAGAGTTTCGGAACTAGCAAGCCAAGGCCAGTGCTAGCAGCTGTCTTCAGGAGTGTTAAAACCAGCCTGGACCTGTCTGTCAGCTGGGAGTCATAGAGAGAACACGTTTAAATGGCCATGAAGAAGGACTACCAAGAGTCCCACTCTGGCCTTTGAAGGGCCATCTTCTCACCAATGTATAGCTATGACTGTGAAAAATGGAAGGGGCAATTGGACGGGCGAACGTTGTTAGGGATATGTAAAAATCACATGATATATCTAATAATTCTATTTTGTATATATGTATGTATACATGTAATTTATCTAAAGATATCCTATATAATAAAAGGCTAATATGCAAATAGACCAAACGGCAGAACAACCGAACAATAGGTAGCTATGACGTGCGCTGACCACCAGGGGGTGCGCGTGGAACATGGCTGGCGTTGGCAGCAGAGCGTGGAACATAGCAGGTGTCGGCCGTGGTGAGATGGTGGAGCAGGTGAGCAGGGGCGCCAAGCCAAGTTGGGGTGCTGGTCGCTGTCATCGAGGCGAGCCTCTGGTGGTTACTGAAAATTCTTTGCTACTGCATGCCACAGTCCTGCTGTGGTCCTGCCTGGCACTCGCACCTGCTGCCAGCGCCAGCCCTGCTCACACCCACTGCCGGCGCCGGCTCCGCTTGCACCCACAGCTGGTGCCGGAGCCACTGCTTGAACCTGCTGCTGGTGCCCGATGCTGGTCCCAATCACTCAGCACTGTCAGTGGGTTTGAGCAGCGGCTGCTGGCCCTGATCATCCCTGAGGGGTTCTCCACCTCCCCCTGTTCCTGAGAAGGTATTGGGACAGCAGCCACCACTTGCACCTGCTGCTGGTGCTGGTCCCAGTCTCTCTGCACTGTCAGCGGGTGCAAGTGGGGCTGGTGCCGTCAGCACATGGGAGTGGTGGTGGGAGTAGGGCTGCCAGCAGACAGGGGACAAGGAGCTATGGCAGGAGGGGCCAGGCACGGGCATGGAGGATGGGCCAAGCACCCGCCCCTGTGCCCACCACAACCTCATGGCCCACAGTTCCTT